GGTTAAATAAAATTTGAGCCAATCATTTATGTGATATGGCATGATTATTGAGAATAAAAGTGATTTTTTGATCAGAGCTTGTAAGCCCGATAATGAATTGCTTATGAATTTTACTCATAAATTTGTACCTGATGCTTATAAATTTTGTACGTATGTACCTAATTGTGACCTAAATCTGATAATCACTGTGTTTCAACTGGAGATTTTCGCCCATATGTTCCGACCAAATCGGACTTTTGCAGAAATTTTTTTATCACGGGCAGAATTTGCATTTTATCACAAAATACCATCGTCCCTGCATTCACTTGATCCTGTCCCCGTGATTGACCGGGATCAGAAAATGTGGGTGAAAATTGGTAAATGCCAGAAATTGTATACTGCATTAAAAATAACCGTTTTATATATGATTGAACATTTATTTGGATCGGTATCGATTTTAGAAAAGATGTTTGCAATGTCTAATGCAAATGAGCGTAGCACATCAATGGATAATAAATCCTCTGTTCAAACTTCAACGATTTCAACTCCAAATTCTATATTTCGAACTGCAAGTCCATGTCCAAGTTCTGTTGATGAAGAGGCTTTCATAGAATGTGTCAATATTATCGAATCTGGCTTAGGAGGAGATAATGTTATCAATATAGCTAATAATAAAGAAAGAAAATGGTGGATCGATGGAAATTATAAGAAGATCGATGAGAAAAGGTAGTATTTATTTATTGTGTATCATCATTCTCTATCAACATTGCTAAAATTTTACTATCTTTTTAGACTGCCTCTGCGTCTTATAAAAGATGTAACGTACCATGATTATGAGAAGAAAAGCAAAATTGCGAATGCGAGCAGATTTTGGGAGTTTGATGACGGTAACTATATATGAATTTCCAAATGGTGATCATGAGGCTGCGCATGGAGAGTTTTCTTTCCAATTTCAACGCGCTTTCTACGACCTACTTTTGAAGATCGTATTGTGGTTGCTAATGCAAAAAGTATGTACTCTTAGAGCTTTTGACCATTCATAGATTCTACAAAAATAGAACTTGTTGACGCATTTTTAATTGGCCATTACTATGTGGTTTATGGAAATTTTTTATTGGAATTAATGTCATGTGTTGCGTGGCGGCACATGAGTGACATTAATTCCGATGAAAGAATTTCCTGTTATAAATCGTATGCTCAATTGATATTATTATCCGACATATTATATTAGCGCATGATTTTTGCGTGATATTTTTTACAATTGATTGCTTAATTTCGTGGCAAAAAATATCAAAATCACACAATATAAAAACATGGGATAAAATCCTATTAATCAAAAAAGCACGAGATGGATATGAATGGGCGCTCTCTGCGTCGCTTAACAGTTCAGTAACATGTTGCAAATTTCACTAATTTACTTCATTTCTATTCATTCAATATAACATCTCGTATCCTTGATAGTGTTATAAATTTTGTCACCGAGCGAGCGTTCAAGCAAGTCATGCACAGGGAAGGTACCGGCCAGTTCAAACGGTGAGACACTGACAAAAATTAGACATGCCTCCGAGAGCTTGTCTGTGCCCCTGTGCTGAACCCTAATCAGCCTACTAAATAATTATCCATCTTTACCCCACAAAATTGTTTTTTTTTCAGCTTGAATTTGGACTATCAATAAATATGGAGCGCCATACGTACCTTGACGATTGCACGAGAATGTGTTTATGAAGGTTGTACTCCATCATACCCGCCATATCCGATTGCAGGGGATATAGTCATCGATTTGTTTGATATCCAGGAGGCAGTTTTTAGAACGCGGTAGGCATATAGTAGCAGAAATCGTGGTAGCATTATAATAAATAGCGAAGTAATAGCAAAGTAATAGTTTGTCAAATTATGCATTTCTTTTATTTCATGAACAAATAAAAGGCCTCAACTTGCAATTTTAAAAATATGACCCAATTATAAATTCTTACAATATATAAGATTTTTTTTCTCTTTATGATATCGATTAACATTTTAAGTATCTATCTGGTACGTATGTACTGTACCTACAAACAGGACATTTTGGCCCAACCTTCTCTAAATTCTGGTTAGACTAAAAATTAAATTTTAATCTGGCCAGAATTTAGAAAAGGTTGGGCCAAAAAATATTAGAATTATCCGGGGTCCTATTACAGTATTAATTATTTAACTTTCGCTAATATCATCGTTATCTGCCCAGTGTGATGAAATTTCAGCACTTATTAATCGAAATGATTTACGAATGGAAGAAATAAAATTTGGAGTTGTGTTATTGAATAGAGAATCCCGACTTACCATTAGATCTTGAAGTGGTCACATAAAATTTCTAGCTTTAAAAATAACTTTACGAAATTGTTTTTACTCCATATCCGTTATTTTCAGATGTTTGATAATGATATTTTAACAATGTACAACCATACCAACAAATTCTTGAAAAAGTCTTTGGAAAGACATAATAAAGAAGTTTATGACGAACCAACCAATATCCACCTCGTGTAATTTTATCGCCAAATTTACCAAGTAGAATTGCAGAACCATTTTCGACAATTATCAATGAAGCACATACAGCAGAAATTGCTTAATGGGTTGATAAAAAGAAAATATATATTTCAGTAACGAATAATCCATACGAGTTTAAATTACTTCTTTGTGAAACTAGAGATGGTTTTACCAATGATTAATTTTGGAATTTGTGTGATAAAAAAACTCACTAGTTGTAGTTA